AAGAACATGCCAAGAGAAGCTATGGTTTCCTCACTTGCGTGACCTGATGAGGCATCTCTTACGCTTGGGAGCAAAAGTTGCTTTGTCCGGACGCAGATTTCTCTCATCCTGGCAGGATAGTCCCACCGACCATCTCTTGAAGTTCATTCACGCTTTGGATCTGAAGCATCTCAGTGCTTTCCTTCCTTCCTACCTGCCTAGCAGTAGAAATCCCAGAGGTCACGTCACACCCAGGGAGGGAACCTGTCCTGAGATCTCATCACCTGGAGGGGTCATGAGACCAGCATGGATGCCTTCAGATGGCAGAGGCAACTCTCTGGGTAGCTCTGCCATTTTGAGACCAGGGGACAGAGAAGAAGGCTCGAAGTGAGCCAGAGGGGAGGAAAAGGGTAGCTGTAATCTGGCAGAAAAGGAGTTTATATGACAGAAGGAGGGACATTTGGAGGGTTTAGGGGGTCTCAAATTGAAATAGCTTAGTTTTTGAAGAGATAAAATTGTCCCTTCCTTCCTTTCCTTCCTTCCTTCCTTCCTTCCTTCCTTTCCTTCCTTCCTTCCTTCCTTCCTTCCTTCCTTCCTTCTTTCTTCTTTCCTTCCCAAAATAAACTTTATTTTAAGGCTGATTGGTTCTATGGTGAACACTTTACTGAATTTCAATGTTTTCCTCTCCCTTCCATTTTCCTTCCTTCCTCTCTCCCTCCCTCCCTCCCTCCCTCCCTCCCTCCTTCCCTCCCTTCTCAAAATGTACTTTTTAAAAAAGGCTGATTGGATTCCTTCCTTCCTTCCTTCCTTCCTTCCTTCCTTCCTTCCTTCTTCCTTCCTTCCTTCCTTCCCAAAATACACTTTATTTATGGTGAACACTTTACTGAATTTCAATCTGTTTTCATCCTTCCATTTTCCTTCCTCCCTTCCTTCCTTCCTTCCTCCCAAAATGAACCTTCTTTTAAGGCTCATTGGTTCTATGGTGAACACTTTACAGAAACTTCCTTCCTTCCTTCCTTCCTTCCTTCCTTCCTTCCTTCCTTCCTTCCTTCCTTCCTTCCCAAAATGAACCTTCTTTTAAGGCTCATTGGTTCTATGGTGAACACTTTACAGAAACTTCCTTCCTTCCTTCCTTCCTTCCTTCCTTCCTTCCTTCCTTCCTTCCTTCCTTCCTTCCCAAAATACACTTTATTTATGGTGAACACTTTACTGAATTTCAATCTGTTTTCATCCTTCCATTTTCCTTCCTCCCTCCCTCCCTTCCTTCCTTCCTTCCTTCCTTCCTTCCTTCCTTCCCAAAATGAACCTTCTTTTAAGGCTCATTGGTTCTATGGTGAACACTTTACAGAAACTTCCTTCCTTCCTTCCTTCCTTCCTTCCTTCCTTCCTTCCCAAAATACACTTTATTTATGGTGAACACTTTACTGAATTTCAATCTGTTTTTCCTCCTTCCATTTTCCTTCCTCCCTCCCTTCCTTCCTTCCTTCCTTCCTTCCTTCCTTCCTTCCTTCCCAAAATGAACCTTCTTTTAAGGCTCATTGGTTCTATTGTGAACACTTTACAGAAACTTCCTTCCTTCCTTCCTTCCTTCCTTCCTTCCTTCCTTCCTTCCTTCCTTCCTTCCTTCCCAAAATGAACCTTCTGTTAAGGCTCATTGGTTCTATGGTGAACACTTTACAGAAACTTCCTTCCTTCCTTCCTTCCTTCCTTCCTTCCTTCCTTCCTTCCTTCTTCCTTCCTTCCTTCCTTCTCAAAATGAACCTTCTTTTAAGGCTCATTGGTTCTATGGTGAACACTTTACAGAAACTTCCTTCCTTCCTTCCTTCCTTCCTTCCTTCTTCCTTCCTTCCTTCCTTCCCAAAATACACTTTATTTATGGTGAACACTTTACTGAATTTCAATCTGTTTTCCTCCCTCCTTCCATTTTCCTTCCTCCTTCCTTCCTTCCTTCCTTCCTTCCTTCCTTCCTTCCTTCCTTCCTTCCTTCCTTCCTTCCCTCCCTCCCTCCCTCCCTCCCTTCTCAAAATGTACTTTTTAAAAAAGGCTGATTGGTTCTATCATGACCCCTTTACTGAATTTAAGTCTGTTTTCTCCCTCCCTTTTCCCTTCCTCCCTCCCTCCCTTCCTCCCTTCCTCCTTTCCTTCCTCCCTCTCTCCCTCCTTTCTTTCTCTCTTCCTTTCTCTCTCTCTCTTTCTCTTTCTTTCCTCATTTTCCAGATCGCTCTCTGCATCGATGACCTGAGCTTTTATATTGAATTCTCGAGTTTTTGCGGAGGGGAGGTGGGGAAGAGAATGAACGGAGAAGGAGCTTTGGCACTGGCCGAGCCATGAAAGGGGATTTTGTCATATGTTTCATTCTATAGAGGCATTGAGCGGCAGTGGGTAGCGGGTGGGAGAGCAAAGCCAGCATTTCTGTCTCTTATGAAAGATTTCATTCTGGCCCGTGGCTTCCAGCCATCTGAATGGAATTGAACATCCTGCCACACCGGCCTTAAATCTGAACTTTCAGGCACCCAAATTCCCTTTTAAAACGCTTAATACTTCCCTCCTCGCTCTGTGTCAACTGAGAAGGGAAGTGTTTGAAAGCACGGAGAGACGGAGACGGCCTCCTTACAAATGGAACTGTTTGGAAATCAGATTTCTAGCCGGGATGACTCTATCATGTTAAGCCAAGTTTGCTCTCCTTTCAGCTTGAGGAATCAACTATGGTTTAGTCCAGGGGTCTGCGCAACCTTAAACATTCAAAGAGCCATTTGGACCCGTTTCCCACAGAAAAGAAAACACCGGGAGCACACAAAACTCTTCCCGTGCCTGACTATTTCTCGAGCGGCCACAAAACTTAGCATATGTAGTTGAAATAAAAATTCTGTTTTCTTCTGAAACTTTTCTCTTCTTGGATTTATCCATGGTTGGCCTACCGGGGGTTGAAAAGCTCAATAAATTGCGTGCTGGTGGATGTCGCACGTTGGTGGTTGTGACGCATATTTTGAGTGATAGGGAGCCGCAGCAGAGGGGTCAAAGAGCCACATGCGGCTCCAGAGCCACAGGTTGCTGATCTCTGGTTTAATCTATAAATTGTAAGGAAAATGTGCTAGTCGTTCCGACTCTAGGGGGCGGTGCTCATCTCCGTTTCAAAGCCGAAGAGCCAGCGCTGTCCGAAGACGTCTCCGTGGTCATGTGGCCGGCATGACTCAATGCCAAAGGTGCACAGAACACCCTTCCCTTCCCACCAAAGGGGTCCCTATTTTTCTACTTGCATTTTTTTTTACGTGCTTTCGAACTGCTAGGTTGGCAGAAGCTGGGACAAGTCACGGGAGCTCATCCCGTTCCGCGGCGCTAGGGATTCGAACTGCTGAACTGCCGACCTTTCCATCGACAAGCTCAGCGTCTTAGCCACTGAGCCACCACATTCCTATGAACTGTGCTCTGCTATAAATATAGCAGTCGTTCGATATTTGAGGGGCTGCCCCAAAGAAGAGGGAGTCAAGCTATTCTCCAAAGCACCTGAGGGCAGGACAAGAAGCAACGGGTGGAAACTAATCAAGGAGAGAAGCAACTTAGAACTAAGGAGAAATTTCCTCAATTATGAGAACAATTCATCACTTGCCTCCAGAGAATTGTGGGTGCTCCATCGCTGGAAGTTTTCAAGAAGGGACGGGACTGAGCCATTTGTCTGAAATAGTTGAGGGTCTCCTGCTTGGGGTTGGACTAGAAGACCTCCAAGGTCCCTTCCAACTCTGTTTTCTATTCTGTAAACCATTAATGTTGGGTCTACGTTAGAGTGTTTTCTCATTTCGTTTGCATTAAAGAAGACCTTAACCCCAGAGAAAATCTGAATTCTTCATCTTTTCTCTCTCTTTCTCTCTCTCTTATCTATCTATCTATCTATCTATCTATCTATCTATCTATCTATCTATCTATCTATCATCTATGTATTTATCTACCTACCTACCTAATCTATCTACCTATCTAATCTATCCATCCATCCATCCATCTATCTATCTCTATCTATCTATCATCTATCTACTGTATCTACCTACCTACATATCTACCTACCTTATCTATCTATCTATCTATCTATCTATCTATCTATCTATCTATATCTATCTATCTATCTATCTCACCTACTCTCTTTCTCTCTAATTTCTTGTATCTGTCTTCTATCTAATCTCCCTCTCTCTGTATATCTATGTATCTATCTATGTATCTATCTGTATTATCTATCTATCTATCTATCTATCTATCTATCTATCTATCTATCTATCATCTATCTATCTATCTATATCTATCTATCTATCTATCTATCTATCTATTTACCTATCTAATTTCTTGTATGTCTTCTATTTTATATCTATCTATCTATCTATCTATCTATCTATCTATCTATCTATCTATCTATCTATCTATCTATCTATCTCACCTACTCTCTTTCTCTCTAATTTCTTGTATCTGTCTTCTATCTAATCTCCCTCTCTCTGTATATCTATCTATCTATGTATGTATCTATCTATCTATCTATCTATGTATCTATCTATCTATCTATCTATCTATCTATCTATCTATCTATCTATCTATTACTCTCTCTCTCTCACTTATCTATCGTCTAATTTCTTGTATCTGTCTTCTATCTAATGTCTGTCTGTCTGTCTATCTATGTATCTATCTATGTATCTATCTATCTATCTATCTATCTATCTATCTATCTATCTATCTATATCTCTCTCCTCTGTCTGTCTGTCTGTCTGTCTGTCTCTCTCTCTCTCTCTGTCTCTTTCATCTATCATCTGGCAATTGACATGTACCCACAATGTACCCACAAGTCCTCCTCAACAGAAATCAACCGATTCTGCTGCTTGGCAATTCAGTTAGTTGTAGCCCTGCCCTTCTCATTGGCATGGAGACGACTCCATTTCCCACCCCCTGTTCCTTCACCCCAGATTTAACCAATTGCAATAACGCTGCTTTCGAAGGAGCCTCCACAATGCCTCCGGCGTGATCTCTGGTTCTTTCTTTCCGAACAGCCTTGGAAGGTGCCAGTGCAAAGCTGGAGCCACGGGGATCAAATGCCCCAGTGCCCGGAAGGGTTCTCCAAGTTCAACGGAACCGCCTGCCGGCCATGCCAGTGCAACAATCATTCGTTGCAGTGCGATCCTTTGACAGGTAAAACAGGGATGCTCTGGGGTTGTTTTGTGAGGAGCGGCCCTTATGCAGGGGTGGGCTTTAAAGATTTTAGCAAGGGGTTCTCTGCCTGGTTGCTGGGTTAGCATGGCCATGGTGGCCGTGGCCTGGTGGGCCTCCTGCACCACAGTGGGGGAGGGGAACATTTTTGCCCTCCCCGGGCTCCAGAGGCTTTTCTCGAGCCTCTGGGAGAGTGAAAACGGCCTCCCCAGGCTCTGGAGGCCCTCTGGAGGCTGGAAATGGGCCCGTTTCCGGCCTTCCTGAATTTCTGGTAGGCCCATTTTTCACCCTCCTGAGCCTCTGCGCATGTCCTGCACTTACCTGCATCCAAAACGGGCCACGTGGGACAGTGGTGCGTTTCAAAATTGTTTACTACCAGTTCTGTGGGTGTGGCTTGGTGGGCGTGACATGGCTTGGTGGGCGTGGCTTGGTGGGCATGGCAGGGGAAGGATACTGTAAAATCCCATTCCCACCCCACTCCAGGGAAGGATACTGCAAAATCCCCATTTCCTCCCGATCAGCTGGGACTTGGGAGGCAGAGAATAGATGGGGGCGGGGCCAGTCAGAATTTTTACTACCGGTTCTCGAACGACTCAAAATTTCCACTACCGGCTCTCCAGAACTGGTCAGAACCTTCTGAAACCCACCTCTGGCGTGGGGACTCCTGGGTGGGGTGGGACGGGGTGGTCGGGGCCAGCTAGGAGTGGGATTTGGGGGTTCTCCAAACTGAACAGAATCTTAGCTGGATTCTCCGAACCCCTGCGAACTCCCAGCAGCCTCACCCCTGCCCTCCTGGGGAAGGGTTTTCCAGGAGGAATAATTAACATAGGCAAAATCTAGCTCAGATCATATAGGAGGAAAAGAGTTAGTGCAGGACTATCCTTCTTTTGGTCATTGGAGATCCATCTCACCATTCTCTGATGGAACTTAAAGCAGATTAGATTGGCCAGGAGAACTGAGCAGAAGAGCTTAGCTTGAGGAACCTCAACCCAAACCATGATAAAAAAAACCCCATAATTTAACCAATGGGACGGTTTGCCTCCAGATGTTGCGTTTGAGGTTTTTTTTTAAGAAGAGTTTTGGACAACCATCAGTCTGAAATTATATAGGGTTTGAGCAAGAGGTTGGACTAGAACAGGGGTCTGCAACCTTAAATACTCAAAGAGCCATTTGGACCCGTTCCACAGAAAAGAAAACACCGGGAGTCACAAAACCTGGGTGGGCGTGGCCAACTCGATGTCACTCACTTCTACCAGTCACATGACCCCCCTCTAGCCACGCCTACCCATTATGGCAGAGAACCAGTTGTTAAAAAACACCGGGAACCACAAAATCCTTTTGACATCTCTCTCTCCCCCTCCCTCCCTCCCTCCCCTCCGTCTCTCTCTGTATCTCTCTCTGTCTCTCTCTCTCTCCCCCTCTCTCTGTATCTCTCTATGTCTCTCTCTCTCTCCCCCTCTCTCTGTATCTCTCTCTCTCTCTTCTCTCTCCTCTCTCTGTATCTCTCTATGTCTCTCTCTCTCTCCCCCTCTCTCTGTATCTCTCTACGTCTCTGTCTCTCTCTCCCCCTCTCTCTGTATCTCTCTACGTCTCTCTCTCCCCCTCTCTCTGTATCTCTCTCTCTCTCTCTCCCCCTCTCTCTATATCTCTCTACGTCTCTCTCTCTCCCCTCTCTCTGTATCTCTCTCTCTCTCTCTCTCTCCCCCTCTCTCTGTTTCTCTCTATGTCTCTATCTCTCTCCCCCTCTCTCTGTATCTCTCTACGTCTGTCTCTCTCCCCCCCTCTCTCTGTATCTCTCTCTCTCTCTCTCTCTCCCCCTCTCTCTGTATCTCTCTACGTCTCTCTCTCTCCCCCTCTCTCTGTATCTCTCTCTCTCTCTCTCTCCCCCTCTCTCTGTTTCTCTCTATGTCTCTATCTCTCTCCCCCTCTCTCTGTATCTCTCTACGTCTCTGCCTCTCTCCCCCCCTCTCTCTGTATCTCTCTACGTCTCTGTCTCTCTCTCCCCCCTCTCTCTATATCTCTCTACGTCTCTCTCTCTCTCCCCCTCTCTCTGTATCTCTCTATGTCTCTCTCTCTCCCCCCCTCTCTCTATATCTCTCTACGTCTCTCTCTCTCTCTCTCCCTCTCTCTGTATCTCCCTGACTCTGCCCTGCCGCTTCTCCATCCCCCACCACCGCCCTTACCTTTTCAGGCCAGGTGAGGAGAGATTGGGAGGGGAGGGCGACGAGCGGAGCCAGTCAGTGGTGGGATCACCTGACAGGGAGCCACAGCAGAGGGCCCAAAGAGCCGCATGTGGCTCCGGAGCCGCAGGTTGCCGACCCCTGGATTAGAAGACTTCCAAGGTCCCTTCCAACTCTGTTGTTCTGAAATAATAGTTGAGAGATGATTTGAGAGATGCTCGAGAGAGTCAACTCGAGCGTCTTCCCACGAAACGTCGCTTCCCCTCCAAACCGCTGAATCATTTCTGTTGTGTTTGTTTGTTTGTTTGTTTTGCACGTAGGCGCTTGCCTTAATTGTCATGGAAACACCGAAGGCACCTACTGTGAGAATTGCAAAGGACATTTTTACCGCAACCGCTCTGAGCTTCACGAGTGTCTCCGTTGCCCTTGCTCCACGGAATTTTCCAGCGGCAGCTGTCAGATAAGTAAGGTGGTTTTCTTAAAAGGTTGAAGAGCAACGGGGTTGAAGAGATCTCCCATCTGTGGATGGGGAAGCTGTGGGAGCTATGCTGGCCATGATGGGCTTTGGGGTTGATCTAGTTTGAGCTTATAGAAATGAAGAAGTCACGCGGACTCTCTGGTTGTCGTGGAGCCAGGATGGAGAAGTGGCAGGTATACATTTTGTAGACAGAGTTACTGTGGACAGAATAGTCCAGGTAGTCTCAACAACGCCGCAATAGGCATTTGTGTTGTGCTTGCTGCATCTTCATCTCCCTCTGCTGGTCACTTGCTCTGGTTGCATTGACCAATAGGGTGGTTGACCCTTGATGGAGAAACATCTCCCTCTTCTGGCTGGCCAGCTCAGCGATGTGAGAACGGATCACCCATATAACTGGGTTGCTGAACCCGGCAGGATCACCGGAGTTTCTGTCCAGAGATCTTCTTAAGACCCATCTCTTGTCAGTTATCTCATCAAGTTCATGTACAGATGACATGATTTTATGATCTTAGAGATTTTGGTTGATTCCTTCTTCTCTTTTTTCTGTCCTTCTCCTCTTCTCCTCCTCCTCCCACTCCTCCATTATTCTTCCTTTCTTCTTTCTTTTTCCATTCTTCCTTTTTTCCTCCATTCCTCCTCCTCCATTCTTCCTTCTCCCTTCTCCTTTCTTCTTTCATTCTTCCTCCTCCTTTCTTTCCTCTTTCCCTTTCTTCCTCCATTCCTCCTTCTTCCTTCTCCTTCTTTCTTCTTCCATTCTTCCTCCTCCTTTCTTCCATTTTTCCTCCATTCCTCCTCCTCCATTCTTCCTTCTCCTTCTTTCTTCCTCCATTCCTCTGCCTCCTTTCTTCCTCCATGCTTTCTTCTTCCATACTTCCTCCTCCTTTCTTCCTCCACTTCCTTTTTTCTCCTTCTTCCATTCTTCCTCCTCCTTTCTTCCTCCTTTCTTCCTTTTTTCTCCTTCTTTCTTCTTTCTTCTTCCATTCTTCCTCCTCCTTTCTTCCTCCATTCTGTTTTCCTCCATTCCTCTTCTCCTTCTTTCTTCTTCCATTCTTCCTCCTCCTTTCTTCCTCCCTTCCTCCTCCTCCCTCCCTTCTTTCTTCTCCTTCCTTCTCCTTCCATACTTCCTCCTCCTTTCTTCCTTCTTTCTTTGCCTTCTTCTTCCTTCCTTCCTTCTTTTTTCCACCACTCCGCCTCCTCATTATTTTCTTCTTCCATTCTTCCTCCATTCCTCCTCCTACTCATGGCGTCTTCACAACTGTTAACACTAGAATGTACATATCCCGCTTGACCGACTGCTGGCAACGCGGAGAGCACTCGTGTAGCAAATAGGAGCTGTTGAGCTAACTAACATCCCTCTTACCCCAATCAGAGCCTGGTCAGCAAACCGCAAGCTGTGATGAGTGCCGTCTTGGCTACATCGGCCCTCTCTGCAACGAATGCGACAAGGGCTACTACAGCTCGGACAGCATCTGCCTGAAATGCCAATGCAACGGGAATGTGGATCCGGCCCTTTCCCCGACAGTCTGCAAGGCAGATACGGGCGAATGTATCGGTTGCCTCTACCACACAGCCGGGGTTCATTGCGAGAAGTGCCAAGAAGGATACGCCAAACGTTTGGAAGGAGCAAACTGCACCAAGGAAGGTAAGAGTTTCCTCCCGTTGGGTTCGCGCATTCTAAGCAGCGTGCGTAAATTACTACAGGTAGTCCTCGACTTGCAGCTAAGCGTTCGAAGTTACAACAACCCAGATAAAAATGACTTAACGACCAGTCCTTAGGACCGTCCCAGTGTCCCCACAGTCACAGGACCAAAATTCAGGTGCCTGGATTTACTTAACAACTGTGGCAAGACAGGTCGTAAAATTGAACGTGGCTCGCTTAACCACCCGCTCGTTCGCCGATGGAAATTCCGGTTCGCAATTGTAGTCGTAGGTCGAGAACTGCCTGTATTGAGTCGGATGGGTTTGTTAAATGAGCTACGAGGCTCTGATTCTAAACGATAGTGGGTTGGATAACCACCGTACAGGTAGTCCTCGGCTTGCAACAATTCATTTAGTGACCGTTCAAAGTTAGAACGGCAATGAGCAAAGGGACTTAGGACCGTTCCTCGCAGTTAGGACCTTTGCAGTATCCCCATGATGACGTGATGCTTGGCAACCGGTTCGTACTTATGACGGTTACGGTGTCCCAAAGTCACTTCATCCCCTTTTGCAGCCTTCTGACAAGCAAAGTCAGCAGGGAAGCCAGATTCACTTAACAAACAGGTTACTAACGTATATGTATATATGTGTATGTGTATGTAAATATATGTATATATTTATATATGTATATATGTATATATGTATATATGTATATATAAGTATATATGTATGTAGGTCTTTGGTTATTCGGGTTTTCTCCCGCGTAAAATTGGAGGTGTCTTGGCAGCGTTTCGACGAAGTCTCATTCGTCATCTTCAGGCTGGTGAACATTGCTCCTAGAAGCACGAAGCCAAAAACACCAGCCTGAAGATGACGAATGAGACTTCGTCGAAACGTTGCCAAGACACCTCCAATTTTACGCGGGAGAAAACCCCAATAACCAAAGACCTACATACAAACACCCACGAAAACCTCAGAAAACGTATATATGTATATATGTATATATGTATGTAGGTCTTTGGTTATTCGGGTTTTCTCCCGCGTAAAATTGGAGGTGTCTTGGCAGCGTTTCGACGAAGTCTCATTCGTCATCTTCAGGCTGGTGAACATTGCTCTAGAAGCACGAAGCCAAAAACACCAGCCTGAAGATGACGAATGAGACTTCGTCGAAACGTTGCCAAGACACCTCCAATTTTACGCGGGAGAAAACCCCAATAACCAAAGACCTACATACAAACACCCACGAAAACCTCAGAAAACGTATATATGTATATATGTATATATGTATGTAGGTCTTTGGTTATTCGGGTTTTCTCCCGCATAAAATTGGAGGTGTCTTGGCAGCGTTTCGACGAAGTCTCATTCGTCATCTTCAGGCTGGTGAACATTGCTCCTAGAAGCACGAAGCCAAAAACACCAGCCTGAAGATGACGAATGAGACTTCGTCGAAACGTTGCCAAGACACCTCCAATTTTACGCGGGAGAAAACCCCAATAACCAAAGACCTACATACAAACACCTGCGAAAAACCTATGTATATATGTATATATGTATATATGTATATATGTATATATGTATAAATGTATAAAAAACAGTGGGAGTCAAGCCTCCATCATTCAGCATGACGACAGCAAAAACAACACAGCTGATTACAAGTGGGAGACGGCTGGAAGGGCCTATGCGCAAGGGCTAAATTGATTAATGGCATATAAAGGCAGAGATCTCTATAATGGTAGTTTAATACTCTGACGATGTCAGCAGATGGCTGACGAAAGCTTAGTCAAATAAAATTTTAATTCTTTTAAAATTTTAAAATCTTAAGTTCCGGAGTTCGCAGTATGTCTGCCTCTTTTTTTACTAATATACCTGGAACTCGTATTTTTAGAATAATTTGTAATGTATATATGAAGTGTTTTTCAATCGAGGCACCTGCTCTACCCCAACATGTGGGAGGGGGCATTCTGCTCCCTTTCGCCTTTCAGCTCCAATCCAGGAGCCCTCAAGCAGTCGCATTCACGACTAACCATTTTATACCAAATTTATATTTTGCTGATAAAGAAATAAAGGGAGACTAGTATAGATCTATTTCAAGCTATTTAGCTCTCATCAGCTAGCCATACCCTTACTCGGATTCGAACTTGGGCTTCCTGCATGTTAGGCAGTTGAATTAACCTTCTGAGCCACAAGTTCTCCTCCCTTCATCAGCTTGAGCCAGGGGAGAGATTAAGTGTTTTTCTATCGAGACACCTGGTCTACCCCAACATGTGGGAGGGGGCATTCTGCTTCCCTCTCGCCGTTCAGCTCCAATCCAGGAGCCCTCAAGCATTTCATGCGTCGAGCTTGAATCACAGTTGGCCAATAAAGAATTCTATTCTATTCTATTCTATTCTATTCTATTCTATTCTATTCTATTCTATTCTATTCTATTCTATTCCATTCTATTCTATCTTATTCTATTCTATTCTATTCTAATCTAATCTTATTCATTCTATTCTTTTCTTCAATTCTTATTCATTCTATTCTTCTATTCTATTTCTATTCTATTCTATTCTATTTCTATTCTATTCATTCTATTCTATTCTATTCATTCTATTCTTTTCTTCTATTCTTATTCATTCTATTCTATTCTTCTACTCTATTCTTTCTATTTATTCTATTTCTATTCTTCTATTCTTATTCATTATTTCATTCTATTCATTATTTCATAATTCTATTCTATTCTATTCTATCTTATTCATTCTATTCTATTCTTCTATTCTTATTCATTCTATTCTATTCTACTCTTTCTTATTTATTCTATTCTTCTATTCTTATTCATTCTATTCTATTCATTATTTCATTCTCTACTCTACTCTACTCTACTCTACTCCTATTCTTATTCCTATTCCTATTCTCAAAACAGTTAATTTAGCCATCTCTGCCAGCTCCATCAACTAGGTGACTAACTTATCCACTGCAGTGATTCACTTTGCCACTGTGGCGAGAAAGGTCATAAAATGGAGCAAAACCCACTGAACAAATGTCTTGCTTAATGACAGAAATGTTGGCCTCCATGGCGTATGCTGAGGGTTACCTGTGTTTTACTTTTAATGTGATTTGTGACTCCCATCCCGAATAGAATTTGAACTGCCATTCTCCTCCATTTAAGGTCTGGTTACTTGCATCACCTAATAACTCTTCCCTTTGTCCTTTTTTCTTTTTTTTAAATGTAGAATCTACTCCGGTCCCTACAGCTCCAAACTTCAACGCGTCAACCGTCTCGCCTACCGTGGTCTTCAACACCACGTCGGTGCAGCGGACGGTGCAGCCGACTTTCCCAAGTCCGTCTTCTGAGAATGGCACGTCGACGTTGGCCGACGTCTCCTGGGCCCAGTTCAACATCATCATCCTAACCGTCATCATCATCCTGGTTGTTTTGCTGATGGGTTTTGTAGGCGCCGTCTACATGTACCGCGAATATCAGAACCGGAAGCTGAACGCTCCGTTTTGGACCATCGAACTGAAGGAGGACAACATCAGCTTCAGCAGCTACCACGACAGCATCCCCAACGCAGACATCTCCGGCTTGTTAGAAGACGACGCCAACGAAGTGGCGCCCAACGGACAGTTGACGTTGGCCACGCCGATGCATAACTACAAAGCGTGACGAATCCAGGCAGGAACGGATTGCAAATTTCTTCCTTTTTTTAAAAAGAAAAAAGAAAAAATCCTTGGAACGAATCAGCGCCAGGGCGCTTTGGGTGAAGATTGCATGGTTCCTGTGTTTCAAGCCAGAAGGAAGTAGATATTTTCTTTTTCTCGGGTTGGCCAAGCTTCTTGTCCGTTGTCCAACAAGACGAGAGTCGGACAAATGACAGAGGCGAGTCAAATGAAAGTTACGGATTGGATTCAGCTTTGCCTTTTTGATGCCACGGTGGGTATTCGCCTGTATTTTTTTAAAAAAAGAAGCAGCTGCTTGAATATATATATATTTTTGTATGGAACCCTCGGAGAAGTCACTCAAAAATCATCTCACGGCCACTCAGAAGACGCAGGCGGACACTGGAAACTGAACTTTTAAAGCGCTTGTTGGAAAAGTGACTAGTGACAGAAGTGATGGAAAAGAAGAATCAAATCTCGGTCCGAGTTTTGCTATTTAAAAAACAACAACAAATCAACGATGGACGGATCCAGACGGAATAACGGTGACCAAAGTTTTGCGTAACTCCCTTCGTTCTCCTCTCTTTTATTTTTTGAGAAAGGGACTTAGGCGTCCTCTTCCCATCCTTTTGTGAATAGTTTCCTTCCAAGCTAGTAACGTTATTTAAAAGTTAAACGTGGCTTTTTAGCGCCTCTATTTTGCTTCGACTTGGATTCCTTTCCCAGAGAGGAAGCGTGAAAGAATGCTCCAACGCTGGAAGTTTTGAAGAAGATGCTGGATAACCATTTGTCTGAAGTGGTGTAGGGTTTCCTGCCTAAGCAGGGGGTTGGACTAGAAGACCTCCAAGGTCCCTTCCAACTCTGTTATTCTATATTCTATAAAGAGGAGGCCAAGAATTTTTACGGAACCGTATTCGGAGCAGAAAATGGTGTGTATACAGAAGGGGAACAGAGATTCCTTCGGCTGCGTTTGTAACTATTTGTACAAAAAAGAAATCAGGTGTTGAATTTTAACTGTTCTAAGATTTTTTTTATCTGTACAGGGGTTCATGGCGTCGTTTAAAAAAAAAAAAACGAGGCCAAATGAAACCAGATCTAAGCTAAGATTTGTGGGTGGGAGAAAGTAAGTATTGTATTAAAGTGTTGTAAATTTAGAGGGCGAATATCTGGAGCTGGGACTCCAGATGAAACAGGGGTGATGCGAATCTCTCGTCTTCGAACAATACAAGTTGTTTGCATCTTCAAGGTTAAGTTTTCTCTGCTTGTTATTTCATGGATTTTTTTATATCCTAACAAAGACTTTTGTGATTTTGAGGGGAGGCAAGGATTTAGGATAGTGGGATGGAGTGGAGTCATAGAATTGTTTCCCTGAATGCAAAGCCAGTCTCTAAGGATATGGATGGAGAAATTCAGATTTCTCCGGTGCGAATTTTAGAATCTGCACTGAATTTGGAACCCCTTCCTTTTGCCAACTCTCGGCCTTATTTGTAAGTAGGGACGTCTGCGTCTGCATGAAAACCCACTCATCAAAACAGACACCTTAATTGGTGGTGGGTTTCAATTTTTTTTACTACCGGTTCTGTGGGTGTGGCTTGGTGGGCGTGGCATGGCTTGGTGGGCGTGGCAGGAGAAGGATACTGTAAAATCTCCATTCCCTTCCTCACTCCAGGGGGAGGTTACTGCAAAATCCCCATTTCCTCCCGATCAGCTGGAACTCGGGAGGCAGAGAATAGATGGGGGGTGGGGCCAGTCAGAATTTTTACTACCGGTTCTCCGAACTACTCAAAATTTCCGCTACCGGTTCTCCAGAACTGGTCAGAACCTGCTGAAACTCACCTCTGGCATGGAGACATCCGCCAGTATTTCATCTCCTTTATTGAGAGTTTTTTTTTTTTTAAATAGCTTTTCTTTCTTCTTGGAGCTGAGAGTCCTGTATGAATTCACGCATCGGAGTTGGGTAACCCTATTTGCTCCGTGCACATACATCTTATTAACTTAACCGTTATGCTTCAGGGGGTGTAGAAAATGCAGAACCTGGTTACCTCCGGGGCTTGGAAGAAGAAAATTGCGTGAAATTACTCCCAGCAGAGTGTCGCACTTGTTCGACAAAGGAAAAAACAACTTTCATCAGCAGGGTTGGTATCGAAGAAATGACACTGTAGGCTGACGAAGCGGAATTTGATATTCAGAAAGTGGTATTAGCAGGAAAAGTTGATTGGATTTCAGTTGACGGAGCAAGAAGCGAAACAAAAATAGACTTGGACCGAGATAAAACCAGACTTTTGGGCATTTGTTGCTTCTGTAGTAGAGCAAAGAAACATGTTCTTAGCACTTTGAGGCTCACAAAGTTTTCGAGATAAATGATCTCTGAAAAAGGATGAATGGGACGATTTATGCTAAGGATTATTTTTGTCCTGCACTTACAGCATCTGCTAAACTGAATTCGGATTTTAGAGCATTTTATTGCTTTCAAAGAGGCTCTGGTTGGTCAAATGTTGTGCATGATGCCATAGAGGTACCGTGTCAGCACTTCAAGCTGCATTTACTCTAGTGCTGACATAAGAAGAAGTGGAGGCGTCTGGAAAGGAACATTTGACTTTTCACCTCCTTATTTTCCCTGGAGATAATATCCCCTAGGAGATGGGATGTGAGGGGGGAAATTCCTTTGAGCTGGAGCAGTAGATTAGGGGTAGAGTGACTTGGAAGTTGGCCAATGAATGCAGAGGAGTAGGGTACGGAAAGGGAGGGTTTTGGGTCTGGAAGTCAGTGTTGGCTACGATGGAGTCAGAGTGAATGTCGTGCTTAATAAATGGGAGTTTTTCATCAAAGACTTTGTTTGAAATGCAATTTATTTGAGACGACCTCAAAACCTGACATACCGTATTTGTGGGGTTCTTTCTGAGCTTGGTGGTTTTGGTGCAGACGTTTCATTTCCCAACTGGCTAATGTCATTAGTGTTAGAAGGGAGTGGAGTTATGATGTATATAAACAGAGAGCAAACCCATTCCCTTCTACCACTGATGATGTTACCCTAGTTGGGTAATAAGACGTCTTGCAAGAAAACCACCAAGTTCAGAGAGCACCAAGGACCCCACAAATATGGTACCCTTATGGCATCACGGACAACATTTGACCAATCATAGCCCCTCGTTTCAACCCTGAGCTACGGATATCCTCCTTTATTGGCGTACCCTATTTGCTTTCCATTTTTAAAAATTGCACTTTTTTTTTTTGCCCTGGGCGGCTTTGCTAAAAGTCCACCACCTTCTTTGAATCTTTCCAGAACTTTGAAGACTCTTCCAATTATTTTGGCTTATGGGTTTTGGGTGGTAAATATTGCATCGGCAATCCTTACGTTTCGCTAAAACAGGGTGAGACAGGGTTTCCCACTCCCCCACCCCACCAGAAAGTGGATGTTGAGTGCTGTTATATAGAAAGATTTTGAAGAAGAGGTCTCCATCAAACCAGGGGTGAAATGCTACCGGTTCGGATTGGTTCGAGCAAACCGGTAGTAACAAAATGCTACCGGTTCAGATGAATTGGTATTTCCGTCGATCAGCTGTGCTGCACGATTTCTATGCTTTCTAGCGAATCTAAATCGTGTGGCGCAGCTGTTTCCCACCCCCTCGCTGTTCTACTTACCTTAGAAAAGGCTTCTTAAGCCTTTTTTTTCAGTGTTGCAGTGGGCATGCATTCGTTTGGCATGCATGTGTGAAGCGTGCATTTGGCATGCACCACGCATGTGCAGCGAATCGGTAGCCGACCTCGGAGGATTTCACCACTGCCTCAAACAGTCCTGCTATCAGTTGCAATTTTGGTATGAACGTGTTTGCTGGATATGATGTTTTATGCGAAGCCCTCTGGTGCTCTCTGACCTTGGTGGTTTTCTTTGCAGACATTTCATTACCCAACTAGGGAACGTCATAATAATATTAACTTTATTGTCATTGTACGTGTATACAGAGTATACCCATACAACGAAATTCACTTAACACCCAAAGACCAGGTCCAACACACATAACAATCCCCACCCACCACAATTCCCCACCCCTAAATCACCCAAACATCCACACAACAGACCAAGTAATGCTGTCCAACAGCTCACTGACGGTGGCCCTTTAGTTCATTGTTGAGTGCAATTATAGCTCTGGGATAAAAACTATTCAGAAGACGTGTGGTCCGAGTTTTAATTTTTCTGTATCTTCTGCCAAAAGGCAACACAGTCCAAAAAGATTGTAAGCAGGATGGGAAGAGTCTCTGAGAACGTTATGCAACTTCCTCAGACAGTGAGATTCGAAGATGTCGTCCAGGGCTGGTAGCTGGAGTCCGATGATATTCTGCGCAGTTTTAATGATTCACTGTAGAGCTTTTTTATCCGCTGCAGAGCTGCTCCCATACCATGCAAGAATGCCGTATGTCAGGACACTCTCAATGGTGCTGCGATAGTAGGACAGAAGGAGATGCTGAGATAGATTTATCTTCCTGAGCATTCTCAGGAAGTACAGCCTCATCAGTGAGTGCTGATGTTTTCTTTAGCCCCGAGAACGGCAAAATTCAAAACTCTTCAAAAGAACTTTTGAAAAAAACGACAAGCTTGCAAGGGCATTTTTTTTGAAAATATTGTAATGGCGCGTCGAGCTTATAAGTCGAATACCCCAAGTAATATTGAGTTCCCATGGGATCGAATGGTCCACGAGCAGGCGATGTCTCCACAGTGCAAAAAAACCCACCGATCACGGGTCCTTAAAAAAGTCTGTGAAAAATTAAATCACTCAGGTGTGCAGCGAAGATAATCTGTGCCAGAAGGGTGCCACTAGATACACCTTTCAAGGAAATGTACACGAATTAAAAAAAACAGGCGAATTTTGATTTAAGCCACATAAACGAGAACTGTGAGCCACTTCAATCCCTGAGCTGATGGGTGGAAGAAAAATAATGTCCCTGCACCGTTGATCTTTACACAAAACAGTGTTCAAAATGTTTTACGATTTTAAGGAAATGGGCCAGTTAATGTGTGAAATAATCCGTTCCATGACCACCTGGGAAAAATGGTTTCCAAACATAAATAGAGATGCTTTGTGTGTATTTGTGTATTTTTTTCCCCCCTCCAAAAAATCTTAAATTTAATGACCTTCCCCTAGCTAGAAATAATTGCATGAAGTTTAACTGTAGAGAGATGGCATGAAACTGTATAATGAAATAGGTACCACGATAGACCAGGCCAAAAAAATAATATATTTAAATTTATGAAACGAGTATGATCATTTTAGCATGGTTTTGCCAAGCCCGTTTGACACTTTTAAGGATATGCGAAATAAGAGTATACGTCCCACAGACATAATCCATTTAAAAGAAGCTTGAAATGCGTTATCTGTTAATGCAACCCTCTAAACTTCTGATAATCTCGCAACGTTTATGCCTCTGATCCTTTGCATTAAGATTTCGACTTGCAGAGCTTGTATGCGTTTTAACGTGACATGTCAACTATATTTTGGGGTGGATGGGCTTTTTAATCCTAAACATTCGTTCGGCTTATGAAATGCATTTGTTTAAGGGAAAAAAAGGTCTTTCTGTGTGTGGAAGAGTGTGTACAGTACGTGTGCGAGGGGTGAGAGTATGGATCTGAATTTACCTGGAATTTATACTGAAGAATGTTATTTAAACAACAAATAAAATGTAGATAATTTGTATCTAACTCAGTTGGGCTCTTTATTAAGTTTATTTTATGGCGTGCAACTTCGTCTTCGCATCTCATTTCTAGAGGAATCTGCAAACCACGTGCAGAGAAAGAAAGTAGTTAGTCCTCAATTTATGACCAACACCGAGGGCAGAATTTATGTTGCTAAGTGAGAAATTGGTTAACTGAGTTTCGCCCCATTTTACGACTTTGTCATATTTGCTAAGCGAATCGCTGCAGTTGTTAAATCAGTAACACGGTTGTTAAGCGAATCTGACTTCCCCGTGGGCTTTGCTTGTCAGAAATTTGCAAAAGAGGATCAATCACATGACCCCCCTGGGACACTACAACTGTCATATATACGAGCCCGTTGCCAAGCATCTGAATTTTGATCCCAGGATCAAAACTCCAGACTAGAGATCCAAGAAGCAGTCACATGAAAACAGGGGGAAAAAAACCACACAGACTCCAAGTCCCATCAAAAACTTTGTCTTTTTATGTACACCGAGAGCATAGGCACCAAAGACAAATTACTTGTGTGTCCAATTACACTTGGCCAATAAAGAATTTTATTCTGTTCTGTTCTGTTCTGTTCTGTTCTGTTCTATTCTATTCTATTCTATTTCTATTCTATTCTATTCATTTCCCATTCCATTTCATTCCATTCTTTCTATTCTATTCTATTCCATTCTTTCTATTCTATTCTATTCCATTCCATTCTTTCTATTCTATTCCATTCTTTCTATTCTATTCTATTCTATTCTATTCTATTCCATTCCATTCTTTCTATTCTATTCCATTCCATTCCATTCTTTCTATTCCATTCCATTCCATTCCATTCCATTCCATTCTTTCTATTCTATTCTATTCCATTCCATTCTTTCTATTCCATTCCATTCCATTCCATTCCATTCCATTCCTATTCTATTCTATTCTATTCTATTCTATTCTATTCTATTCCATTCTATTCCATTCCATTCCATTCCATTCCATTCCATTCCATTCTTTCTATTCTATTCTATTCTGTTCCATTCTTTCTATTCTATTCCATTCCATTCTATTATTCCATTCCATTCCATTCCATTCCATTCTGTTCTATTTCTATTCCATTCCATTCCATTCCATTCCATTCTTAAAAGACATGTGGACTCCAAGTCCCTTCAGGATAGGCAGCAGAAATAGAGAATGGGAGTTGTGGTCCAGCTCCTTGGACTTGATTGGTTTGCCCCTCCCCCCCCACCCCTCCATGTTTTGGAGAGCTGTCCCCATCCAACCTAACTTTAATTTGCATCTCCATCAACCAAATTCCCAAAGCATCTTAATTAGTGGTGGGAGCTTCATCCCTGGAAGCTTTCAAAGAAGCGACTGGACTGCCATCTGTCAGAAATGCTGTAGGGTCTCCTGCTTGGGCAGGGGGTTGGACTAGATGACCTCCAAGCTCCCTTCCATCTCTGTTATTCTATATTCTATATTCATCCCTGGAGGCTTTCAAAGAAGAGACTGGACTTCCATCAGTCAGAAATGCTGTAAGGTCTCCTGCTTGGGCAGGGGGTTGGACTAGATGACCTCCAAGCTCCCTTCCATCTCTGTTAAATGTGAATCAGCCCATCTTTTTTTCCCCCCCCTTCTTCCTGGTTTCTTGGGTACCAAGCCCTCGACTAAGATGGCGCCCGGCTTTTTCCCTGCCAGCCTTCACTCCCTCTCACCGCGCAGGCGCGGCCGGGCCCTTTCAAACCACCACGTCTCCACCCTCTTCTTTTTTTTTTTTTTTTTTCCCCCCCCCCCCCCCTCAACTGAGATGGCGGCGGGAACGGCTTCTCGGCGCGTTTCCCGCCCTCAAAATGGCGCCCCGTAGACGGCGTCCTGCGCTCTCCAACCCCCTTTTGCCCTTCTCCGGGCGGCGTCGGCGGCTTCGCCAAGATGGCCGCCGACGCCGGCGGGGCGGGTCCGAGCGCCTGATGCGGTTGTTTAAAAATTCCGAGGCAGCCGCCGAAGTCGGAGACGAAGAAAGAGGCGCCGCCGCCTCAGCAGCCGCCGCCGCCGCCGCCAGCCGCCAGCCGCCTCCCTCTCGCCGCCTCCCGGGGCCGCGCCATGGACTCCATCCCGGGCGAAGACCCCACTTTGCCGCTGGGGGTCAACAGCGGGTAAGGGCCGTTAGGGCCGTTAACGGGAGGGGAGGGGGGGAAGAGGAGGGAGGGGGGAGGAGGAGGAGGAGAAGGAGAAGGGGGAGGAGTTAACCCCTTCCCTGCCGGCGCGCTGCGGACAAAGCGAGTGGGCGGGGCCAACGCCACTCCCCCTCCCTCCTTTCCTCGGGTAGAGCCTCCAGTGGCCGGCGCAGTGGATCTGAGTCCAGGTTTTGTTTTTTTTTTTTTTTTTTTGGGGGGTGGGAAAACGAGCAGGGCTGCTTTGGGACGACCTTACAGGAGGGTTGTTAGAGGGGTGGGGGGAGAGAAAAAAAAATAAGGGAGACCCTTCCAAGGGTGATTGGGGTGTTGTGGGTGGGTGTTTCTGGATTGAATCTGGGTGTGGGGGGGTTGGGCTTTTAGGCCAGGCTCCTTCCTGATCTGGATGGGCGGGGGTGGGGGTGGGGAGATGCAACTACAACTCCCATCCTCTTGACTTGGCTGCCTTTGCTGATGGGATGGACGACCCTGCAGGAGGGTGGTTAGAGGGGGGAGGAAAAAGGGAATAAGGGAGACCCTTCCAAGGGTGATCAGGATTGGGGTGTTGTGGGGTGGGTGTTTCTGGATTGAATCTGGAGGGGTGGGCTTTTAGGCCAGGCTCTTTCCTGATCTAGATAGGGGATGTACTACAACTCCCATCCTCTTGTCTTGGCTGCCTTTGCTGATGGGATGGACGACCCTGCAGGAACGTGGTTAGAAGGGGAAAAGGAAAGAAAAGGCTCTTTCCTGATCTTATGGGAGGATGTACTACAACTCCCATCCTCTTGTCTTGGCTGCCTTTGCTGATGGGATAGACGACCCTGCAGGAGGAGGGTTAGGGGGGGGGCGGGAGGGAATAAGGGAGACCCTTCCAAAGGTGATCAGGATTGGGGGGGGGGTGTTTCCAGCTGGATCGGATCTGGGGATGGGCCAGGCCAGGCTCTTTCCTGATCTAGATAGGGGATGTACTACAACTCCCATCCTTTTGTCTTGTCTGCCTTTGCTGATGGGATGGATGGACCCTGCAGGAGCGTGGTTAGAAAGGGGAAAAGGAGGCAGAGGGGATCCTTGCAAGGGTGATCTGGATTGGTGCCTGTGTTTCCAGCTGGATCGGATTGGGGTGGGTGGGCTTTAGATTAATCTCTTTCCTGATCTTGATGGGGATTGTACTACAACTCCCATCCTCTTGTCTTGGCTGCCTTTGCTGATGGGATGGACGACCCTGCCAGGAGGGTTGTTGGGGGGGTGGGGAGGATAAAGGGGGCAGAGGGGATTCTTGCAAAGGGTGATCAGGCTTTGGGGTTTCCAGCTGGATCGAATTGGGGTGGGTGGGCTTTAGACTAAGCTCTTTCCTGATCCTGATGGGGATGCAACTACAACTCCCATCCCTTTAGCTGTCTTTGCTGATTGGATGGATTACCTTCCAGCAGCGCTGTGAAGAGAGAAATGAGGGGGGGGCTTTCAAGACTTATCGGACTTGGGGTGCATGTTGCCAGCTAGATTGAATTGGGGGACATTAGGAGACCATGGGAGGGGGGTCGCTTTCCTCCATTCAGATGGGGACTCACTACAAGCCCCATCCTCCCCAGATGTAGGATACGGAGCCTCTTGATAGCTGCAGATTCCCCCTTCCTGGCTCTTGCACCCTTCTCCCTTCAGCTTGGGCATCTTGGACTACAGTTCCCATCGCTCGCTTTGAAGGTGTGGATGGGGAAAGCCAAAGGGAGAAAATTCACTTTTATTTATTTAAATGCACGTAGGAAGGAAGACGGAGAAATATTGTGTATTGCAGAGACTGGATAAGTCCCGGTGCCTCTATCCAGATATTCCCACTGGTTCCACTGCTGATGGGACATGTAGTCCAGGGCTGTAAAAGCCAGGTGGGTAGGGAAGACTGAGCTTGGGGCCTGCAGGCTGATTATTTTTAAAACTTCCTTCTTTCCAGCCTCAATTTTTCCCGGCTTCCAGATGTCTCGGGAGACGAGGTCCGCAGTCAAATGGGAGGCGGTGGAGGTAAAAATAAAATAGCCAAAACTCTTTTTAAAAAGTTGCTTTAAATGCAACTTCAGTCAAACTTTGCAGACTGGCATAAATACACATTGTTGCATTTCAAGCCATTTATCTAAGTGAGTAAAACAAAACAAAACAAAAAAAAATACTTGGAAGAGAAACAAAAGGGAAGTAATTTAGTCTGCACCGGAAACTTTGTTGCATTCAAGTTTCTTCTTCTAAGTGATTGTAAAAACCCATCCAGGAGGAAGAAAAAAAATAAATAAATCCTTGGAGAATTGCACAATCCCTTTTGCGAACCACAAAGAGCGTGTTTCATACCCTTAAATTCTACTTTTCTTCCCCACCAGAATTGATCTCAAACTGCATTTGTTGAAAATAGAGGGCAATTTCTGTCTCTGTGTGTTTTCAAGCTGGAAACAAAAAAAAGAAAAATGATAGTATAAATAACGTAGTTTAAATCCAAATCTACACTTAATGTACTTTATTACTTTATTTTCCTGGGTTTTTCCCAAACCCAGGAAAATAAAAATAAAACTCTTATGGGAGATTCTGGTTTTCAGCTCCAACGTATTAGTTGCTTTGCCAAATTACCCCAAAGTTCACTTTCTTTCTTTCTTTTTTTAATTTGATTTATATGCCGCCCTTCTCCGGAGACTCAGGGCGGCTTACAATGCGCTAAGCAATAGCCTTCATACTTTTGTATATTTATACAAAGTCAGCTTATTGCCCCCACAAACTGGGTCCTCATTTTGCGAGCTCCGGAGCTAAAATAATTAAAATTTGATTCTACTAAGCTTTTGTCAGCCATCTGCTGACATCGTCCAAGCATTAAACTAGCATTAC